CAGGCACGCGCCACCATGCCCAGCTAATTTTTTGTATTTTTAGTAGAGACGGGGTTTCACCATGTTGACCAGGATGGTCTCGATCTCTTGACCTCGTGATCCACCCACCTCAGCCTCCCAAAGTGCTGGGATTACAGGCGTGAGCCACCGCGCCCGGCTCTGCATTCTACTTTCTTAACTTTATATTCCTTTTTGTTGTTGGCTTACAGTATTTTTAATTAACTTTGTATTCTTACAAAATTATTTTAGTTCTGTAGCTTTGCTATGTGTTTTGAAATAAGAAACTCGTACCTTCAGCAATTTTCTTTTTCTTTTTTTTTAAAGACGGGGTTTCACCGTGTTGGTCAGGCTGGTCTTGAACTCCCGACCTCAGGTGATCCGCCTGCCTTGGCCTCCAAAGTGCTTGGATTACAGGCGTGAGCCACCACACCTGGCCTACCTTCAGCAATTTTCTTGTTTTGAATATTGTTGGGTATTTTATTGTCTCTTGAGATTTCATATACTTTTGGAGTTGTTTCTATTTTTTTGAAAAATTTGAAAAACATTACATTAACTCTGTAGATTGCATTGAGCAATGTTAGTTATTTCAACCTTTTAACAATAGCACACTCAAAAGTGTGTCAATTTCTATGTATTTGTGAATTTTTCCATTTTTTTCTATTATTGTTTTATACTCTCATTGCATTTTGGTCATAGAAAGTAACCCATATAGTTGCAGCTTTAAAAAATTTATTAAGACTTCTTTTTTGACCTAACAGGTGGTTCTTTCAAGGGGAGTGTTTTATGAGCTAATGAGAAGGGTGTGTATTCTGATGTTGAGCTCTCTTTACCTTTAATGTTGAGAAATAATTGTTTTATACTGCCTTCAAGGTTTGTTTCCTTACTAGTATTCTTTTTTTTTAAATTATTGAAAATGGGATATTGAAATATTCTACTATAATTACATTACTCTCTGTGTGTTTCTGCAGTGCTGTCAATGTTTGCTTTATGTATTTGGAACCCTAATATGAGATACACATACACATACAAATTTGTTGTAGGTTTCCAGTGACTGAATCCATTATTTTTTAACGTCCTTCTTTGTCTCTTTGGAGTTTTGACTTAAAGTACCTTTTATTATAAATGACAGGTTTTGACTTAACTTGTATCTGTGTAATATTATTTTGACCTCCTCTTCTCTCATTTGGTTAATATTTACAAAAAACTTCTACTTTTATCTTGGCACTTTCAGTCTTTTTTTATCATTAGATCTCAACTGACTTATGGAAAGGCAAGCTTGATTGGAAAGTTAATTATATATAATATATGTCTATTATGTAATTTGTATATAAATTTTACTTATATAAATAATTTTCTGACAGAGAAACATGAATGTTATTTTATTAATTATTTTATTAGATTCTTGTATCTTTGTCTTTCATTTTCTCTCTGTCTTCCTTTTTTCACTTTATATTTTTTGCATTGATATGCTTTCAATTCTCTCATATTTTCTTTCATATATCTATACAGATATTTCCTTTATGGCACCTTTGAGATTACATACAAACTCTAAAAGTTAAAACAACTTTAATCTGGTAAAAAATTAACTTCATTTGCATACAAAAATTCTTCCTCATTACATCTGCTCTCAAGTTTGATATTCATGTTGTTAATTATATCTTATGTTAACACTCATTAACAGATGTTTATGATCACTTCTATGCTGTTATCTTTCAAATTTTAGAAAATGATTGGCCGGACGCCATGGCTCACGCCTGTAATCCCACCACTTTGGGAGGCCGAGGTGGGCGGATCACAAGGTCAAGAGATAGAGACCATGCTGGCCAACATGGTGAAACCCCATCTCTACTAAAAATACAAAAAATAGGCCGGGCGCGGTGGCTCACGCCTGTAATCCCAG